CGTTTGTGACTCAAAAACTGCGAACATCAGATTACCGAAGTATTTATATCGACCATGAAAAAATCGGCTTCTAATTTGAGATGGCCTTCAACACATGATGAAATTCACAACTCCAAGGACAAATTTTTATAGTGAAAGAGCTGCAAGTTTACAGTGACCTCTTGGCTTCATTTAACGAAAACTAAATTGTAGGAAGTGAATAATGTCTGTTACGTTTTCTGTTCGTTCAGTAAATTTCGAAGGCATAATTGTTTAAAAAATTATGATTTGCAATATTTTTGTACCATTAATACGAATTTATTGTTCTTATGTGCTGTTAAATATAGTATTGTTGGATAAAATTGGTATACACTCATTTCCCTTGTTTTTTATGTAAAAATTGAGCCTATACAATATTTTGGAGTAACATTGGTGCATATTTTTCCTGCCGTTTCTAATGCAAGATAATGAACTGTTCCTATATTACCCCATTAATGGGCTAAGATTAGGAAAAATTAATTTCTTTATAGTAAAATAATCTTGTGGAGTAAACCAATATTGGGGAGTAGCATTGGTGCAAAATCGTGTTTCTCACTGTTTCTAATGTAGATAATGAACTGTCCCAATATTATCCCATCAAAGGGGTAATTAGAAAAATTAGAATTTTTTTTTGTAATATAATCTTGTTTCAAGTTTAATATATTGTTCTGCCATATTTTGAAAGAGGAAGACTGACCTTACATATTCATAATTTTTTTCAGCATTTTAACTTTGAAAATAAAGATAGAAGCAGCTTAAAACTTTGAAAAATGTTCCACAGTTACTAAAGTTCACGGTAATGCTCAAAACAATGGGAGTGACCGTAAACCCCAAAAACAACAGAAAAGAATTATATCGGGCTGTGATCCTCCTCTTCCGAACAAGAAAAGGTTAATTGATTTCTTCTTCTAAGGTTGGGATATTTTTGTTGAAAAGTAATATTATCTTTGATTTGTGATAGTATTTTTTTTTTTTTAATAGTCTCCCTAAATGAAGAAGGAAAAAGCAAGACTATAAGATTCTGTTATGGGTAGGATTTTTTTTGTACAAGTTTTTCAAAATTATTGGGAAGTATTGGGAATAAGCCATAACTAAAAAAAATACTTTAAAAACATAATAGTAAATAACTACCTGTTGGGCGTGTGGCAAGGGCTGCCATATAATTAATGTGGCATTATATGACATTATCCCTGCGACTGAAAGTAAATTTTTCGACTGTCAAAAAGTTGTCTAATAATTTAATTTAGTTGACAAAATAATTAATTCAATTTTATCCTTATTCCCAGAAGAGCTTCTATACAGCGGAGGATCTACATTGAGGGATGAAGAGGGAAATCTCTTCCCCATCCCCCATCCCTCAAAAAATAATGATTGAAAAAAAAAATACGGCTGTTTTAAATATACCAAATATAATATACCAAGTACCAAAACCCGAAAGTATATTGTCGTTTATAAGGTAGGGTAAAATAAAAAAATTAACTCGTCTTGTGAGAAATCGATCATTATAAATGATTTTGTGAAATTAATTAACAAACTAATATATGTTTACGATAGTTCATTTATATGAATAGATTGAGATATGAAATAGTTCAATAGTAGGTTATATCCGTACAAGGAAATATCCGCCTCTGTATTAGCATGACGCCACACTTTGAGGTAATCGCCCTCAAGAAATAACTAAAAGAAGTTTTGCCAACAAAGATAGTTATACGCATAGACGCAGATTTCCCGGAGGAAGGCTAGGGAGATAATCACTCCTCTTCCTCCTCTCCCCCCCCCTCTCCCCAATGAAAACAGAAAGGGAACGAAAATAACGTTTACCCCCTCCCTCCCCCAATATTTCGAAGAAGAAATATAAAATCAATATCAATAACAATTAATCTTCATGAATGAATAAAATCTGTAAACTAAAATAGATTAAGAAGATAAGAAATGTCGACTAGATGGCTAAGATAAGACCTAGAAGTAGGTATGCAAATATTTTACCGCACCCTATGTTGCTTTATTGAAATTTTAGTTTATATTCAAAGCTAATGTAGCAATCTATTCTTGGATTTTATGATTCATTCAAAGCACACTTCCATTTTTACGTGAAGAATTAATCAGATTTCTCGCGACATTTGTAGCATCGGAGAATTGTGAGTTTATCTCACTACCTCAAAACTTTAAAATTAAAATAAATATACGTAATTTATTCAGTTGCTTTCTTAACATATTTACAAATATAACCATACAACAAAAAAGGAGCTAATATACAAAGTTATATATATAAATTTATCTGTAGAATAATTTATTATATGCATGGTGTCCCGTAAGTAGAGGTAAATATTTATAAGACTGATGGCAAACATATAAAATAGTTCATATAAACATTGGAACAATTTTCATCTGAAAAGTAGGGAATTCATGGTTTGTGTTTTTTTAAGCAAGTTGTATTTTTTGTTAAATATGAAGTAATAACTTAAGAATTACTTAATTTTATTAATTAAAATTGCTTCACTGTAAAATAGACTAAATTTATTTCAAACAAAAATAGATTTTGTCATTGTTAAAACCATTCAAAGAAGTATTTTGAGCGGCTGAACTAATATAAATATAAGCTAAGCTCTATTTTAAAAAAAAAAGCATAAATTATTCGCGATTTTTTTTTTATCATCTTTTTTTATAACTACACTACACATGCACCACATTTAGAAAAACTTTTTCGTTAATAGGTTTTAAATCTGTAATTATTAAATTGATGTTTATCATGGAAAATATTAAGATTCACCTCAAGTTGCGTAAACAAATAATGCCACATCACATCAAATAATTATCCATAAGTAATGCCAAATAATTATCACATCAAGTAAAAATACCCCTGTTTTCAGCAAAAATGACTACAATTAACTGTTGCAAAGTTATTATTTCTTGTTTCCCATTATCTGGAATGCATTATAATAAGTATAGTTGCCTAAATACACTTTTCATTTATAAAAAAAAAAAAAAAATTGAAATTCCGATTTTAAATATTGTTCATGTACAGTGTTCATGAAACTGGGTTTTTCATCCAGATCTGTATAATAGAAATTTATTCGTATTTATAAGGGACAAACTTATAGTTCCTGATGTCAATCAATATTAACGTTTTCATGAAAATAGTTTTAAAAAATCAGCAGGTTTCTTTATATTAAACGTGCACTCTAGGGATAGAAATATGCATTTTGTCACTTATAAAATTGCATAAATTTTTTTAATACAGATCTGGGTGAAAAACACAGTTTCATAAACACTTCACATAAAAAATATTTGAAAATCAATATTTTTAAAGTTTTTATTTTTTTAAATAAAAAGTATATTAAGACAATTTTTGCTGAAAACAGGACTACTTTTACTTGACAGGATGAAAATTCACATCATTTTTTTTACACTACTTGAGGTAAATCTCAGATTTTTTCCAATAAATCTCAGCTTAATTAGTACAAGCTTAAAGCCTATTAAACGAAGAAGTTTTCCTAATATCCTGTAGATGATTATAAATTGAATGACTATAAAAAAATGGTGAATTGTTTATGATTTTTCAAAAACAGAACATAGCTTAGTTTAGCCACACAAAAGTATTCTTCAAATGGTTTAAACAATAGCAAATATTAATTTCGTTTAAATTAAAATTTGTCTTAGTTTACAGTGAAGAAATCTTTAATTCCTTAAATTAAATAGTTCTTTAGTTATCGCTTCCTATTCAGGAAAAAACTTTTTTGTAGCTCTTGAGGTTTGCTATCACTCATACAAAAATTTCTTTCTACTTAAGGAAAACCCTGTACACTTTTCGTTGTGCAATTATTATGTTAATTATAACTCATAGTTTTTATTCATAATGTAAACTCCTGAGACTTTTTGGAAAGGTGGAGAGAGAAGGGGGCTTCATCGCAACCAACCACAAGGTTCAATTCCCATTACTGAGATCTGATTAAGAATAAAGTGCTCTATCAGTTTAGGTAAAGAATTTAAAATATGTATTTTAAAAAAAACATATCGTTTCACAGAATGTATTTTTTTTTGTAAGAATTTAGGATTAATGAGGAAGAAGTCTTTGATATTGCAATCTCTATCTTCATATTTTTACTCTTCTTTTCTGTGCCTTTTTGCCTATCGTCATATTAAAATTCCATTTTTTTGTGTTTGTTTTTTTGCGTAGATTTTGGAAAGAAAAAAATTAATTTGTGACTTCAAATTCAGATCTCAATAAATATTAAAAAGCACAGCGGAACCGGCTTTTTGAATTTTTTCCTCATTCTACAACCACTCTAATTTGATGACTGACACCAGTTTTCAAAATGCAACCGGGTGCATCCTCAATGAATTCTCATTTAGGGACACATTCTTTACATCGTTACAAAAGGTCAGGGGACAGTTCTACCGTTAAATGGACAGTAAAATTTAATTTAAATTTTTACTTAAAATTTCTCACTTTTATTTAAATTTTAGCAAATAACGCAACGGCTTTTATCCGACTGACAAAATTTCTGTGTTGAAATGAGATTTGTATTTGACTTTAAAATGGTTATTAGTAGTAAGTCCTTTTGTTAAACGAAATGGTAGCTCTTATTGCCATATTCATAATAATATAGTATAGTGTTACATCACTCATTAATAAATAATTATATTTCCTGATGGAGCTTTTATTACCAATAGTTCAGAAGATTGTTTCAGTTCTCAATCCATCTTATTTATTTTTCAGCTTTCACCTTGGACTATTCACTCAGACTACCCTCATAATACCCTTCCTCCTCACCCTGTTCTTCCGTTCTTCCGGTAGTTCCCCCCTAATCTCTAAGAACCGGAGGCGTGGTCGTACCCCGTCGTAGGGTATCCTAGAGCCGCCATATCGATCATGGGACCCCCACCCCGAAGATAAAAAGCTATCGTGGAGGGTAAGGGCGCTTGGGTGGGGGTACTTTTTGCCTCGAACGTTTTTTCCCCTCCCTGAGGCCAGTCCTCAGCCGGCGATGGTTAAGCATGGACTACCCTCTGCCAGAACGGACACCGCCACTCACGGCAGGGCAGCCTCTTCAGCCAAAGATCTTATCCAGGAATGCCAACGGCACAAGTTAGTATCTATTAGTGATTGTGTATCAGTGAATTTAAAGGATAAGGGACCGTGATAAGTGATAAGTAGTGACCATTCCCAACAATCCTACAAGTGTCCCTCCGAACCGGTGAAATCATTTTTATTACATATTCAACAGGTCATAAGGTCTAATTATTAATGCTTATTTCCTTCAAAAATAATTTTAGAGATTATGTTTATTTTATTAAATTGTGAGATTTGCCAATTTTAGACATTTTCATGAAGAAAAAAAAAATTAAACATAAAACAAATGTTAAAAAAATTATTTATCTAAACAATTTATTCTGGTACTTCAACCAATATTTTAGCCATTTTGACTGATTACAAGAAATTATTAAAATTATATTACTAAAAAGAATAAACAAATTTTGGTAACTCTGAATAATATTTTAAATTATAAATTTGATATCTAATTGAAAATAAATACAAATAGGTAAATTTAGATATTAAAAATAATTACATATTAATAAATTATTGAAATCATAATAAATTATTTATTCTCTTTAAGCATTGGAGTCACATAATAAAATTTAAATTTTCATCAGACATCTTCTGTTTTATGAATAATTTGAAAATACTTTCTGTTAGATATAAAAACTGTTAAATTTATTATAATAATATATGTAAAAAAATATTATAAATGCTGAATCAAATTATCGAAAAAATAATTTATGCGATATTTAAATATGCTGTCTGTTAATTATTTTAAATATACTATAAATACAATTTAATTAATTATTAATATTCTTTATAGGCTGATTGAAATAAATCAAGAAATGTGTGCTAAAATTGTGAATAATTAATGCTTTTGTTTATTGTTTAGTCTTTAATGCTAATTGTTTATATCTATAGAATTAAAAAAAAAAAATTACTACACAGTTATTTACTGGTATTTTTTTATTTGAGGGGAGGGGAGAGGCGCGAGAGGGTTACTTACCAAAATTGAGCCTATCTTTAATTCAATAATAATTTTATGAATATTACAATTAAATTACATCAAAACTTACATCTCAGGTATTTTCAAGTTTATTAATTATACAATTAATTATTATATGCTACACTAAGCTTGAAATCAGTAAACTGAAACATTAGTTAGCTATAATCTATAATTATTAAAACTTTTAAATATCGAAATTATCAACATATATTCTCATTAATATTTATTTTAATATTAAATTACAAAATAAAATTTGCAACATCAAATCATCCTACTCAAATAAATCATTTTATAGATACTAATTAAATACAAAATCTAACAATGTAGTGAAAACTAGCTATGTTGAGACTTGTTGTTTTGTTTTTTTTTGTTTTTTTTTTTTCGATAAGACTTTTTTTTATATATTCTTCTGCTTAACTAAACATAATAGGCACTAGTTTCTCGAATTTAATTCTCCCGAAAACTCCTACCAATATGTTAGATGATGTCTAATTGCTTGTTTACAAAAATTTTTTATCTAATATTATTTGTCTTTAATTATTATGAGTTCATGATTTTATGCAATTATTTCACCCGAATGTGTTGTAAAAAAACAATCAAAGTAATAACCACAAAGACTTAGGTTTTTTATTTATTATTTTTTATTCTAACTCATGTTACCATTATGTTAATCATTTTATCAAAATAGATGCACATCGACTCATCTTGCCCATCTGCCTGAAGTTACGTTATCGGAATGTTTCAATTAGAAAATTATTTTTTTCTAATTAGCATAAAATTATTTTATGAAAATTAAACTGTATCAATTATTGTAAATAAACCTCTTCAAAGTGGTTTATTTCATTATTTATAAATACGATATATAGAAACATATGGCATTAACCAGCTAAAATAAACATAAAATAATAATAAAAGTCTCTACATTTATATATTTTAATCTATCAATAAAAAAAAAATGCAGTATATATTCAGTGTTTATTTATTGAAAGAGTGCTTATATGTTAGATCGTTGTTCATTATTTTTTTAAATGTATTTAACAATAATATTTGTTAAATACAAAAAATGCATTAATTTTGATACAAGTAATGTATCTTTTTGCCGCAACTTTATTTGTTATGTAGAAACGAAAACAAAAAAAATTAAACATTTTTTAATACAGAAATAAATTCTAACAATAAATGTATTAGATAAATTAAGCAACTATGTATCCGTTGATTGGTATATCATAACAGCGGAATTTTATAAAAACCGAGATTAAAAAAATAAATAAATAATTTTCATAGATTTATAATTCTATTTCATTCTATTCATTTATAAATATCACTAATAAGGAAGACCGCAAGTGTTTGCCTGAAACACACTGACCCAATTTCATCAAGCTATTCATCTTGAAATTCGTCATTTTATTACAACAAAACGTCTTCAATTTAACGAACGTATTTATATAATTTATACACCTCATTACTTCAATGGTTTTGAGATTTTTTGTTGCATTACCGATACAACACAATCAGAAGAACAGTCAAGAACAAAGATATTATATATATATATATATATAATATATATATATATATATATATATATATATATATATATACTTTATGTATACGTTCGCATTGTAAATTAATATTTAATCATTATAAAGTATATTTATTTGAAATATACATTTATTAAAATATAACTATATAAAAAATTTAGATAAAAAAATCATCAAACACATATCAAGATAAATTAACCCATGCATCTTTATTGATGTTTAGAATAGAAAAAATATTAATACGTCTAATTTTAAATCGATTTGTGATTCAAAAAATTAAACAGGCTAAAAAAAAAATTAACTCGTTAAGTTGTGTAAAAAAACAAAATTGATAAATATAAGAATTTGCGAGACACATTTTTTTTCTGGCATATTTATTCTGAAATCTAAATATATATTTAGAATATTTTTATGATAATTACATCTTCATTATCATATTAGATTTTTTTTCTCAGCCTGAGTCAAGTTAATGAATTAATTCATAGAATAAAAAATACATAATTTTTTAAATAATTTATGTATGGAATTTATTTATTATGGAAAAGGTATAATTGAATTACAAAGTTTTATAGATTTAAAAAACTTATTGTATATATAAATATATAGAAGTTGACCATACTTATAGGTTGAATTAATTTTCTTGAAATTATTATTAACATAAAATATTTTAATAGTGCTTAGCCTTTTAAGAAAAATTCAATTTATATTTAAATGAAAAAAATAATTAATTCATTACTTAAATAAAACATTTAGAAAAATATGTTCAAAGTTTATCAAACTAATATTTGTTCTTTTTTCATTTCTCTCCAATCCCGAAGAAAAAAAAAAGGGGTAAGCGAAAGTATAGTTATTAATAATTTTATTCACAATTACACTTCCTGTGATGTATTCAATATTTTTTCGTTGTTTCTGATTTATAAGATCTAACTAAAAAGACACCTCACAAAAAAATATTCGTTCCTAAAAATTAATAAAGCCGTAAGAATATACCACCTCCCCCAAAAACAAAAACAAAAATACTATATATAATCATTTGTATTAATATATATAAACGACATACCTTATCCCAAGCCATCCATATCTGGACACCCCTGATTAATTGTACTAACTAACGTTAAGTCTAATAATGTAGAGAACCCTTTTTGAACTAACTCTAGTCTGTTGAGAATATTCATTTTTCAAGTTTAAAACGACAATAACTTTTAAAAAATTCGTTAATTTATTTTTTCATAGTGATAATATTTTGTTATTACCGGCTTACATGATATGCTCTTGTGTTATTCCATCTGTTTTATGTTCTTCCAAAACGATTAGTTGATTAAATATAATTATAAATACAATACACAGAAATATAATTAGAATTTTGATGACTATTATACTTCTTAATGTTGTTTAATAATGTGAATGTTCACCACTTAAGGAAAAGATGGAACAGCACCCTAAAGTATCATAAAACACAAATTGTCAGATCCCAACGAACCACTAAATTCATCAGGGGTGCCCATTTCCCCAAGGTCAATGGCGCAGAAACCTCTGTTCTCCTTTCCAAGATATTTTATTTCTATTTAATTGCTTTCAAGAAAAAGTATAATATAAAAAATCTTAGATCATATAAAATTACACTATCTGCTCTATGTCTTCCCCCTTTAACTCTGTTTGGAAACTTTTCATTCAGAAAATTCCTAATTCCTTCAAAATATCCCACCCTGAGGAATTCAATATCGCGTCAAAATATGTCCTCCTCTACTTAGGACCTTCCTTGGAACATACATACGAAATTAAAAAGATAAGAACTGTCAAGAGGATACTTCAACTCTCACATCATCTGGACTCCAGATTCTCATTTAACCCTCAAAACAAGCTAGCGACTAATATACAACAAAGTACAAAAACTTATTTGGCCGTACGTTGAAAAACTTTGGTTTTCATCAAAACATGAATACATAAATAAAATACAAATAACACGATTTAAAATTGTTAACGCGCCATGTTTTATTTCAAATCACACTACACGCAATGTCTTTAAGATTTCTGCAGTAAAATCTATTATCCACATAAAATACACAATATTTCACACTTCAACTCATAATTACCTCCCTGCACTCGTTGTTTCAATTTCTTCCTCCGAGTTACCCATTTGACGCAGATTGAAAAAGTACAATATAGTTTGACTTTTACAGTTCGCGTACCTGCATTAACGATTTTAAAGTAATGATTATAATTAATTTGAATCGTGAGGCTAGGTTATATCATCATATTTTTTTCTTTTACAAACCCGGGCTTCAGATGTAGATTGAAGCGTACAGGAATGAAGTCGAGAGGAGAAAGGGTTTTTTCCTTCAGTTAAATATAAATGGAAGACGTGAAAAAGGGTTGTGCCAGAGGGTCGTACATAAGTAAGGGAGAGAAATATTGATTTTTCACTTTGCTCTGCCCCCAAAGCTTGAGTCCGAGACGTGAGCTTGAGAAGGGTTGACAATACGGGGATGAAACCGGTTTTTTTT